TCCAAAGTAGGAGAAACCTTTTTTTTCAAGGAAAACTATGGATTCTGATAAAGAAGCTATTTTTGTTCCGTAATGAAAATGCATTGGTTGTGCATAAAATGATGTGTTGTTTGTTGAGTAGGTATGGTCATTTCATTCATTATTTGTTCAATGGATACTGAAATTTGTCAGATTATGTTATTAAAGAAATATCAAAACAAGATGTGGCACCGCAATTATATTTTGATATCAGATTGGTGTAATACAGTCTGACATTAGCTACTCTGGGAATTAATTTAACACTTGCCAGTTCGTAGTGATCAGAAATAGTAATTGTAAATGAAAAAGATTTCTGGGCCGAAAAAGAAAAAAAAATCTATCAAACCGATCAATTCAGTTTTCTTCAAAAGTTTAGGTTTCAAAATAAAATGTTGCTTTTAAAATATATCTCAGGAAGATGCCGAAATCAGGCGCCGATTCAAAGCGAAAGAATGGTACGTTGTGTATCGACTTTGTATAGAAACGTATAAGCAAATGCCAAAATCAGTCGCCGATTTAAAGCGAAAGAATGGTATGGTGTATATAGACTTTTTATAGAAATGTATAAGCAAATGCCAAAATCAGGCGCCGATTCAAAGCTAAAGAATGGTACGTTGTGTATCGACTTTGTATAGAAATGTATAAGCAAAAAATTAAACAATAACCACTAGTGGTGTAATTTTTGCATTGTTGGGGCAATGTATAGCACAAGATGTTATCAGTTTACCGTTACCTTGCTAAATAATTTTGTAAAACGAGGCTATACACAGTGTATACACTCCTACCTGGTCACCACCAAGAAGAAGGGTCGATATTTTGGAAGGTATGAAGGCATATATATGGGTTGATTTTCAATCTGTTATATAATCTAGTGACAAACAACGACATATTTCAATACTAGAGCGTGTAATAAGGAGATTACCTTTACCTTTGCATGAATTAGGAAGGTATAGATAAGTATTTTATCAAGATTCAACATAAACAACACGTAATCTTTGTTCGGTGTAGATAATCGAGCATGCAGAGACATCATAGTCTTCAAAGAAGTTAATTAGAAATTATATCTACAAGTATGATATATCAATGTCAATACTCTAGTAAATTTATAGAAATAGCCAAGAGAGGTTACACGCTGGGCTGAATTATCCTACAAGAGACAACAGCAGTCATTTAAAAACGAAAGTACATTTGCATTCATTGTGGTTCCTTTGTAAAAAGGAGGCGAGATAAGCGAATGGAATAAAAGCCTACTTCCCGAAACGTTACCAGTTAGGATATACATTCCAACTTTGTTCTCTCTCTCTCTCTCTCTCTCTCTCTCTCTCTCTCTCTCTCTCTCTCTCTCTCTCTCTCTCTCTCTCTCTCTCTCTCTCTCTCTCTCTCTCTCTCTCTCTCTCTCTCTCTCTCTCTCTGTTCAAAGTTTCGTTCCCACTGTAATCCCCCCTCTCCGTTGATTCTTACCTTACTCCCTCATCCCTCCTCTCTTTCTCCAATAACTCTCAAAGTGTTAGAAGCATCATCTTGCTTTTGTTTATATAATATAAATGTAAGAGATAACAGGAACTCTCCGTCTTTGCCAAAAAAGCTAGCAAAAAGGAAAGAAACCAAACAAAGTTAAACTATGTTTATTTATACAAATTTGTTCTGTAAAGTACGGATGGGTAAGCCTTTTTGATGCATGCCCACAACTTCACCCCCACCTCCTTAGCCTTTCTCTGTCTGCAAAACAATACATTAGTATATTGCAGAATATCAATTCTTATTAGGGAGAATGAAATCAAACTCTTTATTCTCCAGGTTAATCTTAATTGCCTACAAAATTTGAGTTTTCATGTTACCACTGTAATAGCAGAAAAGGACACATTACTTTCGTGCTCGGGGCCCCGAGTGGCTGAGTGGTCTAAAGCACTCTCCGTTACGAATCACTGTCATCTCACCTTGTCTGATTGGGTTCGAGTTTGAGGCTCGGCCAGTGTGGGTACGTGAGAAAGCTTGTCAGTAGTCTCTGGTGGGTCGGTGGTTCTTTCCTGGGTTTTCCCCGGTTCTTCCTCCAACATTTATACTGGCTGTCATGTATTGCCTATCTTGTGCTAAAAAATGGCGTTAAAACCCTACAACAAGAACAACAACAGCAACAACAACAACAACAACAACTTCCGTGCTGTCTATCGGTGCATTCGCCTGCACCTATGTGCGTGATTTAGGAATGGATTTATACTGATATAACAAAATCTATATGGTTATGTGCCACGAAATTTTACACTTTTTTGTGGGTCAAAAGTAGGTAACATAATAAAATTTCTTTGCCATTACACCATAGCCAATATATTTGCGTACATTATTTTTAAAATACTTTTTAGACTTATAATTCTGCGTAAAAAAGATGTTATCAATGTGAAGAAAATTCACACTTGATGCAGAGAAATGACATTTGGTAGGCATATCTGTATTAATTGTGTGGATGATCTGATCGGATTTTGAAGTCATTAAAGCAATTTGTGTTTTCTTTAAAATTGTTACACTTTGTTGGACCCGTTTATTCGAAATGCTTGTACGCACAATGCGGGAAATCTCAAATGTGGAAGATAAATGAATTTTGCTATTTATGTTTACATGAATGCATTTAGGACCAGATTAAATTTTAAAACTACGAAGGCAATTTTTAAAATTTTTTTCAACAGTTTTTAACTTTATTTGATCTTCATGATCAGCAGCATCAAAGTGTTTTTCAAACACAAATTCATTTGCTCTCTGTAAGCTTCTGTCAAACAATATCTCGTGCAATTAGGAAAGTGGACATGAAGGTCAGTACCTAGATGGGTAGGTAGGTGGGTGGGTGTCTTGGTAGGTGAACATATAGGAATCTGAATTTGTACTTCATGCCGAGTTGGTAGATGCATTTGGTAGTGATCTCATAAGTTTCCAAGTTGTGACAGATGGGCTAAGCCCCTTGCGGTAGGGGTGGAGTTTAGGGCCAACGTCTTTACACGCTCAGTAAGTCAGTAAGTGTATGTATGATGCAGGAGTGAGTGGGGATCTCTTTAGAATCCCTGTTATGACGGGAGGTGGGGAAAGAGAACTAAGTTTTTGTGGAGATAGAGATGGACGCCAAGTAAGAATATATATATATATATATATATATATATATATATATATATATATATATATATATATATATATATATATATATATATATATATATAATCACACTCACAACAAAAATCTATCTTAAAACAGGAAGGAATAGTTGTACAACAGTAGAAACGGACACGGACTGGTAGATACCTCAATTGCCGACTTACTCCAAAAAGCTATAGCTAGTGCAAGAAAAAAGTTTTGCTATATTTCAAACTAAAATGATCATAAAAATTTAAATTCCATTACTTTCAGGAGATTGTCAAAAAGCGCAGTCAATTTTTCTTATGTATTTAGGAAACATTATTTCCAATCTGATTAAATGAAGTTAGTGGAGTTAATTTCCATTTCGTCAGATTTGTATTCTTTAGTATGATAATAATGTTTATTTTATTGTTGCCGATTACTCTGCATACGTACGTACATATGCATAGACAGGTAGACACACAAAAACATGCCTACATGCACTACCACTTAGGCTGGTTTGCCTCGCTTTCTGTAACTTAATGACCAATTAGAGAATTAGAAGTAAGAGATATAACGAGAGAGAGAGAGAGAGAGAGAGAGAGAGAGAGAGAGAGAGAGAGAGAGAGAGAGAGAGAGAGAGAGAGAGAGAGAGAGAGAGAGAGAGAGAGAGAGAGAGAGCAAACAAAATGAACCAGAACCAAATTCTTTCATTAAAATTTGGTCATTTTGATACTATTCAGAATTTCAGATGACAAAATCTATCTATCTATCTATCTATCTATCTATCTATCTATCTATCTATATATCTATCTATCTATCTATCTATCTATCTATCTATCTATCTATCTATCTATCTATCTATCTATCTATCTATCTAGCTAGCTAGCTAGCTAGCTATCTATCTATCTATCTATCTAAAAGCAAGCTAGCTTACTAGCTGGCTAACTAGCTAGATAGGTAGATAGATAGCTAGCTTGCTTAAATACTCATTAAACAGATCAGACAGTTTTACCACTGTATTATACAGAAGAATGTACAATTAGTATTATATATAAGTAATAATAACTTAAAGGTGAAAAAATCCCGTACACAAAAAATTAAAAATGATCTAACTTGTATGAAAGTATTTTTATATCATATATGAAATCTTTCTCATGTGTAATTATTAACCGTAATTAGTGCTTGAATGCTAACGCGTGTAGTGACACCATGTGTCAATTGTAAAGTAAATATGTAAGAACTTTTTCTCCTGAAAGACAAAATAGTCTGTACCGACTAATCTGCTTGCTTCCATACATGCAATGAATCTGTTCACTTTTCCTTCCTTCTTTTCTTCTTTCGTTCCTTCTAAACAATCCTCCCTCTGCCCATCATCCATCCAACATGTTATAAAATATCCATTAACACATAATGCTATGTATCTGTGATTTTACTTCTGGTTCATGTCATTTCAATTGGATTAAAAATCTTCTGAAAAGTTTTTTGCAAATTTTTAGAGAGTCTGAGAAAATATCCCGTTTTTTATTATATAAATATTTTTGAACTATATATATATATATATATATATATATATATATATATATATATATATATATATATATATATATATATATATATATATAAACTTTTGTGATTTGGATGTGATGTGATTTGGATTCTTAACGTAGCTTTAACAACTTTTCAGTCATATCGCTACGATGTCTGCAGTGTGGCAGTTTATAATGATGTCTAGCACTGGGGCATCATGCTGCAGACATACGTCATGATGTCCCACCCGGTCACATTATCCTGACACCAGGCCGACTAGTCCTAACACTAACCTTTTAATGCTGAGCACCAAGCGAGGCAGATGTTAGTACCATTTTTATAAGTCTTTGGTATAATTCGGCGGGGAATCGAACCCACGACCTCCCGCATCTAAGGCGGACACTAACCACGGGCCACCGGTAGAAAAGCTTTTGTTAAACTCCGTTCTGGTCAATGTTGAATCTTTAGTGCAGGTCAGTCTTAAAGTCTCTGTGTGGGTAAGTGTTGAAAATATAGTGTATGGCAATGTAAACGTCTCTGTGAAAACCAGTTGCAAAACAATTTTCAGACTAATGTTAAATATGTTGCGCAGACCTATATTAAAGGTTTGTGCAAGCTAACGTTAAAGTTTTATGAAGGAGTTAATCATGTGTAAGCAAGTGTTAATATTTTATGTGCATTCCAATGTTAAAGATTTTGTGCAAGCCTTTGTTAACATTTCTGTGCAAACTAGTGGTAAAGGTTTGAATAAGCAAAAGCTGAAATATGTGTGCAGAAAATTCTTTGTGCAAGCTAGTGTCAAAATCTTTGTTCGGACCATTGATAAAAGCTTTTGTCCAGGTTAGTGTTAAAGGTTTTGTGATAGCCATTGAGAACAATATGTACATACCATTGTTAAAAATTTTGTGCAAAGGTTAAAGTTTTTGCGCAGTCCAATGTTAAAGACTGTGCATGCCATTTTCAAAGACTTGTACAGGCCGATTTTAAAATCTTTGAACAAGCCATTTTTAAGGGCAAGCAAATGTGGAAGACTTTGTGTCAGCTCAGCTCATAACTCAGACAAAAGAGACACATTATTTCAATTCTTTCGTCTCTTCTTTTCAGATTTTTCTTTTTCTTTAAGAAAATGTCAAACAAGAAGGAAAAGATTGTTGTAGCTGCAATTGATTTCGGAACAACCTACAGTGGATATGCCTTCTCTTTCAAGCATGACTATGAAACGGATCCAACAAAAGTTAGCGCAAACCATGTATGGAATTCTGGGAGTCTTTTGTCCCTTAAACAGCCAACGTGTGTCCTGTGTAAGCCAGACGGTCAATTTGACAGTTTTGGGTATGATGCAGAAGATAGATACATAGCACTTGCCGAAGAAAATAATCATGGAAAATGGTATTTTTTCCGTAGATTCAAAATGGTGCTACACGAGAAGCAGGTAGTGTGATACTGTGGCAATAGCGTTAACAATTTTACATGTAAATTTTCATGTATAAAACATAAAATATGTTAAATGTTCCAAAAGTGAACAGAATGAAATCAAAATCAAGTATTTGCTGATTTTCTGACATTCTTTAACTGAGGATGCTGAACGTATATTTCTATGCATTGCTTCGTTTAGGAGCTTAAACATAGTAACAAGACATGGTAAAACCGAACAAGTATTCACTTGTCCAAAATATAAATTTATTTCACTAAAACATAAAATCAAACAAAGTCAAGAATTTAAAATAACTTACTGTGTATGACTTCCTACAAAATTATCCTTCATTTTGCCATCAATTTCACATTTTAACGGAAACTATCCAAAAGTATTCCGAATGAAGTTTCTAATGTGCTAAGTTTCCATATGTCACAATAGTATAATATTTCTTCTCTCTTACATCTTTTGTACAATCCATTAAAGGCATTGTACTCTACCAAAACAATGTTACATTTATGTACCAAAACTATCTTACATTAAATCCGATGTTTCTTCTTGCTATGATTGTAGATGTCGACCCATCATATGATTTGTATCTCCATAGTGACATTGTATTACAATATTCTAGCAGTTGTGGAATCCTTATATATCACCTATTTGTGGCCTGAGATTTATCTTTATTAATAAAAGTTTTGTTCTGTTCTGCTAGCGTACTAGCACCACTGAATAATTAATTTTCTAAATCAAAATGTTTTACCTCAAGGTAAATTAAAAGAAAGTAGAATATTACAAAAGTCCTTGAACTTTTCATATAATCCGATAAAATTGTTCAAATGTTCAAGTTCGTGAATAATTTTAAAAAATCCGACAGGTACTGTCTGTTTAAAATAAAAGTTTTTAATTTTGCTAGTCCAACGAACAATAAAACTAAATCATATTCTCCCCACTAAATCATATTAATTCTCTCTCTCTCTCTCTCTCTCTCTCTCTCTCTCTCTCTCTCTCTCTCTCTCTCTCTCTCTCTCTCTCTCTCTCTCTCTCTCTCTCTCTGAAGAAAACTGACATGGTGCTCTTAAATCTCTTCTTTAGTCTCTATGTGCGCAACAAATCAACAAAATCTGAATCATTAAAAGATTCTTGAACATTAAAATCATCAAGCTGAGAAATAATTAAACAGTCATGTTTCGATCTTCTCTAGTGACTGAGTCAATCGACAACTAGGGCGTGCATGATATCTCTACGGAACAAACATAATCCTACGTTCACGTGATGTTTACGTGCCCTCCATTCAAACCAATGCGTGGCGTGCTTTGTAAATTATAGTTGTTGAACTGACATCGGAAGTTATCTTTGATTTACGAATGAAAATTCTACAACATATTCTACAAGTATTTTTCTATAGTAAAATCTGTTACTAAACTAAAAAATTTAAGTATAAACGTAAAAATTCCAAATGACTTAAATAAATCTATAGCAGAAATTAGCATGTAATACAGATATCCTTATGTATGTATGTATGTATGTATGTATGTATGTATGTATGTATGTATGTATGTATGTATGTATGTATGTATGTATGTATGTATGTATGTATGTATGTATGTATGCAGGCAGGCAGGCAGGCAGGTAGGTAGGTAGGTAGGTAGGTAGGTAGGCAGGCAGGCAGGTAGGTAGGTAGGATAGGTAGGAAGGTAGGTAGCTAGGTAGGTAGGTAAAATTTTCAGTGTTTCTTTGATGCCGAACAAGGTAAAGGTGGTATGGTTGGCTTAGATACCGTATGCTATATGCTGAGAACATGCAATATTATTGCTTTGTAGCACTGAAATGTGTCTTTATTTATCATCACTTTATTCTGCACATATACCCTATGAACATAAATAACGTGACCTGACTTCACTACATATTCACTAGTCTTCGTTCCTATTATATCAAATAAATTTCGTAAAAATCGCGCAATTTTTAGATTTACAAACGCAGCTATTCAGTGTTCTGTGTTGCGGCATTGTCATTCCAAAACCCGTTTTTACACAAATTATGAAAAGCAATGCTATTTCCTCAAATAATTAATACATAACATTAATATTTTCACTAAAGAGATTGTATTGAAACAACTGAATCGAATTTGTGTCATCTGCAGTTTTATTTTTTTAAGATAAAAAGAGGGATTGAGATAGAAGACGATAAGGGATTAAAGATGCCAGCTATAAAAGTTTTTGGACTGGCAATTGGTTATATGAAGGATCATCTGCTACAGGCACTAGAAACAAGGTACCGGTTTAAAGGTGGACGATATTCACTGGATACTTACTGTCCCAGCTATCTGGACGGACTCTGCCAAACAGTTCATGCGAGAGGCAGCAAATATGGTAGCATATTCTATTTATTTAATTAAACATTTTAATTAACCAAATATGAATGTACTGTATTGGTTGATTTATCCTTTTAAATCTATATTGTTTTATTCCCTAACTATCCATACGTTCGTAAAAGAAGTATCAATAATGCAAAATAATATGAAAATAATTTCAGTATTCATTGGGATCCAAGATATTTACCTTCGTTTTCATTTTTTATTTAAAAATCAAGACCAGAATTCCAATTATAAGCCGTTAATAAAATATAAAAACTGCAACAATTAAATATTAATTCCTTGCAATGGTGAGTTTTTTGGTGTGTCTGCATTAAATAAATCTCTTTTTATATTCTGTTTCCAGACGTGATGTTAGGTCAGCAAACAAAAACATCAACAATAAATGACATATTGAATGATTTTGAAATAATATAACAATAGAAGTTGGTTCTAATGTGTTTATCTTTTCTATTAGTATCATTGTTTCAAAACCACCACTGGAAATACTATTCATTTCTACTGAAGCATTTGACAGCATTTTGAAATGTTCTTTCTGGCAGTGTTCGACAAATATGCCTTTCAGAGAATATAGTCATAACAATGCCTTGCGTAATGTTTCTAAAAGTACAGCTAATAAATTTCAATAGAGACAAATACAAAATTAAGTCAAACAACAATCACTCCATTACTCGGCAGTTTTATATGGTTCATTTCCAAAACAATAAGGAAAAGTGTTCTATTGTCTGGGGCTTTGAACAACTGACAACTTAAGCAAAACACACTAGGTATTTTTCAAGTAATCCTGTGTATCGACAAATCTGTTCAAAGGGTCAAGACTTTGGAAATAAGAGCAGACAGAGGAGTTACTGACAGTAGCATATTTAAATCTATTTTAAAGTCCAATGTGCGTGAATGTAAGCTGGAGATCTCAGCTGTTTCTTACTTTTGACCAATGAGCTCAAACTGTGAGAATCCTAAACATGACTCACGCATTTAATTCACTGCCACTCAGATGTTTCGATGCTTTGGTCAGGGATTGCACAGAGACATTCACGGACATTTCAATCTCATTGAATTTTTTTAAAAACTGTTATTAAACTACATCACCTAACATTTCCCCTTTACTTCAGTTCTCTCACAGCCACCACACTCTTTCCTTGCTATATCAGGCTGTGACAGAACCATAATCTCAAACCAGTAGATTTATAAATTTTAATCAGTTGATTGGCTTCTAAACGAAAATGAGATTTTTGGTATAAATGTTATGTTCTATTATCACATTTTAAGCAAAATAAGCGCATTGATGCCCTATGTATTCTCTTCATAGTATAATAGAAACAGCAAGTTTTGAAAATAATTTAAATTAAATGCTGATGACAATGTTACAATAACACTTTTTATTACCTTTCAATATATTTTTAATTAATGAAAACGGACAAATTGTTTGTCTGATACTTAATTGCCAAGAATTTTAGTAACAACCAAACGAATGTTTAGTTCCTTCACTTGATTACTGTTGGTAACCACTGACGTCATTCATTGTAATTTTTAAGCTGCATATTTATCAGGCTCTCAATAGTTCAGATTTTCATCAGAATCATTTTGTAATTTGGAGAAAGAAAAAAAAAACAGAGAACGCCCTCTCTGAATCAGC